ATCATAAAGATTCATAGTTGACAAGATGCATTTCAAGACATAAAAGAAAACAAATTCAGAAATTCAGTAAAAAATCAAAAAATTTCCTTCATCAATTCCCACACATTAATCTCCCAAAAAAAAAAAAAGACCCACTAGACACAGGAACTATTCCTTCAATAATTAAGCTAGATTGTGTATGCCAATTCCCCAAACTCCTTATTTGCTAAACTTAGGTTAAGGGGAGAGAGAGAGAGAGAGAGAGAGAGAGAGAGAAAGAGAAAGAAGAGAGAGAAGGAGAAAGAGAGAGAAATGGAAGTAAATAAAGTTAAAACAAGCGCCAGATCCAAATTATTCTTAATTTGCTTGGTAGCTACAACTGTGCTTGGAGTTCACAGGGTCCCACATGCCCAGCATATTTCACAAAAGATAAGAACATTTTGACAAGCCAGCTAGATTGTCCTATATCTCCCAGGATACGTACCTCACGGTGCTTGTAATTCTCTTCATCCTCTTCCTTGTCACGAATCCTTTCTAGATCCATTGCCTCCCTCTTATACTCCAATTCTAGTTCTTCTAATGTTTGTGGGAAGGTGGTGTGTTCAAATTGATGGCCCAGTTGGACATCAGATCCACGTCTCTCAGAATCCCATCTCTCTGTTCTATAACCACCCATGCTCGAGCTATGCCCATCATATGAACTATATGAGTTGCCAGTGTAATGAGGATGCCCAGGAGATTTAGAATGACTGGAACGGCCTCTAGCCCCATCATTACCATAAGCTTCATGAAATGAAGAATATGTTAAGCACTTGATGGAGATGCTAACATATACTGTAGCTTTAATTAGATATACTATCTTATATTCATAGAGTGAACCCATCCGTAGCAATCCAGAAAAGCTTTCAGTAAATAATTTCGTTTTGGAGACAATCCGATCAATTCAGATCCACTCACGAAAGTTACTTCAGAATCGTACATAATGCTTGAACATAAGAACTTACCTCTTGCTGCAAACAAAGGATAAGCAACAAGCAAAATTATTAAAAACTCAAATTTCGTGAAGCATTTTACAGAAAACCATATATGAAAAACAGGGAGGTCCTAAAAAACTGCGAATATGGGATTACCAGCTTTCTACTGATGCCGTAAAGATATCCTATGCTGTTCCTACCTTGTGGAGGAGAAACTCTTGGAAACTTCTGAAGATCCTCATGGACACGGTCATCCATGACCTTATCTTGCCTGCCAAATCTCTGAAGATCCTCATGGATGCGGTCTTCCAGGACCTTATCTTGCCTACCAAATCTCTGTTGAAAATTTGATGCATGAACACCCGGATAAGATCTTTGAGATTCAGACCGGCGAAACCGCGAACCAGCAGGACTTCGCTCAGGTGACCTAGATCTGCTCCTATGAGAACTGAAGGAACCCTTACGGTCACCTTCCTCTTTAATGACTTTGTGCACAGCATCTACGCCTTTGGCCAAAATCAACCTATCCTTTCCACTAACAATTATAAATTTCTCCTCCATTTTTATTCTGCAGCCAATATCCTTTTCAATCCTGTGTATCACTTTCTCTGGGAAAAGTGCTTTGATATGCTTTTCTCTAGCAGGCACCCTTTCAAAGAAATCTTGAGACTTGCGATTCGCTCCAAGAGTAGTTGGACAACCCTATAAAAATTTTCAAATTACACAATTACTCAGATAATAAAACAAACAATATGCTCCTCTTCTAACACTGCACTGTCATCTTCTCTAAGTTAATGAGGAAAAAAGGAAAATATACACTAAGCTGAGTCCAAACACTTCTTATATCAGATATCTCTAATAATGATATGGAAATCTGCAACAATAAATTTCAATATCAGGTATGAACTGCATTTCTTAAGCCCAGTTTACATTCAAACTATCACATGTAGTCATTAGATTGAATGCAGTAAGCATCAAGACTAATTATTGACACTAGGGTATCAGAGAATGGATCATTTTTATCAGACTTCCAATTATTTTATCTTACTATCTATTAGCTCCTAGTTATTTTAATCAGTTAGATTAGCCCGTGAACTTGTTAACAAGCACGAGAACACAATAATTTTATTGCCTTTATAGATCAATTTTTCTTATCAAGTGTATTTCAGTCATTCATTCAACTTCATCCACTTTTCCCCTTGTTTGCCCAAGTAAATGCACAAACCAAGACTCAATTAAGGTATCTGATTCAATTAAAAAGGAAGGTGACAATTTAGCATAAATCTAAAATACAAGGGCCTTTTATGATAGTAATCCAAAAGAAAACAGTATTTCTCTTTGTATGGACCACCTAACAATAACCTAAATCAATCTTTAAGGACAAATTAACAGACAAGGACAAACGTAAGTGTCTACAATCTATACAGGGAAGTAATCAAGCATCAATGTCTGCAATCAAGGAAAAAATTGTGTGACACACCTAAGTGTCTGCGAGGCATGTAAAATAAAAGTCTGCGACATGGGATGATATGTAATCCAACACAAGTGACTGCAAATACAGGAATACAAAACCTATAACTCAGAGAGTACCTTGACTTGAATATAGCAATACCTGAGTGAAATGACCTGATTCTCCACATATTTTGCAAATCATTTCCTCTTCTTTCCTCTTCTTCCAATTTCTCTCCGTCGCCTTTGATTTAGCCTCCCAAACCTTGGCTTCCCGGCTAGTAAAATCTGTTGGAACAGCATTTGGATCACGAGATTCCTCTTCCTCATCAGAACCAGCATGAGAGCGCTTGTTTGCTTTTACCCTCTCTTGAGCATTGCCAATGATGGACCTAGGAGGACCAGTGTATTCCTTGTAAATTTCACTAAAATCATCATCAACATCCGGATCTGATCTGCTGCTTGCCATCATAAAGTAAGAAACAAAGTGCCCTACCTGCATTGCCAAAATAGAGCCAATAAATCGGCATTCAGGAACCAATTCCGAAGAATGGAAATGCAAATGAAAAAGTAAAATATTTGGGCTTCATTTGGTATATAAAAATGTTCTCTAGTTTTTACCTTCTATACCCTTCTGTTTATGCATGATTGTCACAACTGCGATGATGCAAACTTGGCTAATATTAGATTTCTTACACTTCCATATAATTGATGAGTATTATTATAGATTTACCAACTTTAAATTTTTATTCTTATTAGTATTTTCCTATTTGAATTAGGATTACTATTCCTAAGTTATTAGTTTACTATTTCCTATTTTAATGTTTATCTCAAAAAAATTCTAATTTTAATTTAATTTAGAAAAGGTTGCTAAAAGTAATAAATAGCTTATAACTTATCGGAACATTCAATTATTCAAAAATATTTTGAGAGTTTCTTAATTTTTTGATTGTGTGATGCAATCAAATCCTCAGTGTGACACTCAAACTTCTTAAATATCATGTCTAAAAAACCCTAGGTGTGATGTCTAGGTTTATGTCATCACATACCTAATTAGACAAATCAATCATATTTGTATCTACATCAATTTGATACCAGAGTTATATTTCAACCAAAAAAAATTATACCAGAGCTTAAAGAATCCTATACCCAAGTTCTCAAAACCCTAAACCCAAACAGCCCCAAACCCATGGGGAAGAAAACACCAAAAGAAATTCAAAAAATCCCTAAAACAAATGCCACTGCTCACCAGCCACCAGCCAAAGGTGGTTGACACTGCCACCACCACCAGCTCCAGAAGGTCCCCATTGGTCAACCCCCAAAGCCCCTACACGAAACTTCATCAAAAACCGCAATACTCCCCAGTGCAACCTCCACAGTTGCTGCCTCTCGCAAATCTGAACTCCTGCACCATCACATCCTACACCGACCTCCTATAGAAGATTAGCACCAACAGCCTGCGAAATGGTTGCTGTCGTCCAGTGACTGCAAGCCGGAGCGTGGACCAGTCACGAGTAAACATTGTGTAATCTGTCCTATATTGGCTTCTGTGACCATTCCCGCCTTAACCAAACTTTTTTAAGAGAAATTCAATTTGAGAAATGATGACTAACACTAAATTAAATACTAAATCTGAGACACGAGGCAACAATTAATACCAAATAAAAAGCAATGCAATACACTATTGAAGCAATCTTGGAAGAATTGAGATGCTTACACATAGCACAAGTATGCCCACTAATTCAAATTGTACACATTGAATAAGCTATTGATAGAAGACATATTGAAGATAATGTGGGAGATATTACCAAGAGGGTAAAGGTCAAAACACCTAATTTTGATGGAAGAAAAGACCCATTTCCTCTTGATTAGCTTAATTCAATAGAAGAGTACTTCAATTGATATGAGATGTCAAATGAACATAGTTCAGTTTGCCAAAATCAAGATGGTTGGACTTGTAACATACTAGCATTGATACACCGAATCCAATCAGAACTTCGCAATTAAGCGTACTTGGGCGAGAGTAATGATAGAATGAGTGACCTATTCGGATGTTGAAACATGGGATGAGATGAAAGCTATTCTTCATGAAAAGTATCTACATCCCAATTATTGTGACAAATTTCATGACCAAGCTTATACGTTAGTCCAAGGCAAGTTGTCAATAATCGAATAAACGGAGAAGTTTGAATAATTAAAAATTCGAAGAATAATTAAAAATTCGAAGAATAATTAAAAATTCGAAGTTAATTGGTTGAAGATGATAGTTCATAACATCTCGATTCAACGCAAGACTAAGAGTTGATATTAAACAAGAGTTGGTTCGACAACATCTTGCAACAATAGCACAACTTACTAAATGACCCTTGATGTGGAATAATATTTAAAATATCCAATCCCAAGAAAAATTGTGTTTCTAATCATGGAATCCGCTCCTGATGATACATTTAATTCAAAAAAGTGAGCTGAAGGATGGATCAACATCAAATTCCAAAAGTCCTGAAAGTAAGAAAATTGCTTGCTTTAGATGTGGACAAGGTGGGCACGAGTTACAAATGCCCAACTAAGAGATGATGGTTATGTATCCAATGAGGATGATGATTTAGCTCCTAGCTAACAAGTAACACTCTTTTGTTAAGGTGCATAATGTCATACTCCAAAGTGGAAGAGTAAGAAGAATCACTATGTCGTCCTATTGTTCTAAGATCTTTCCCCAAGAGTCAATTCTATGGATGGACAAGAAGAATCATTATGTCTTCATACTGCTCAATATCTTTCCTCAAGGGTCAAAATTATGAAAGTTCTATGCAAAAAGGGATTTGACATAACATTTCGACAACATTTTGATTTCACCCTCCCCCACCAAGATTTAGCACTCCTACAGAATTGCACAATTATATTATTTTAGGTATTAGTAAGAATAACCAAAAACATTGGTTGCTCAGTTTTCATGAGGAAGCTCGAAATTCAAGGTTTTACATCATTTGTTACTTTAAAACTTGCGGGCAAGTTTTCTCCAACCAGTGAAACATGATGCGGAATGAATTGACATCAAATTTTCTAAATAGTTTAGAGATTGTAATTATAATAAATATAAAACTACTATACTATTTATGAGTATATTATTGAATATTATTATAGTTTTAGTAACTTGAATTTTTATTCTTATTAATATTTCCTATTTATATTATGATTAGTATTTCTAATTCTACTATACTATTTTTTATTTTAATTCTATTTAGAAAAGGCTGTTTAGAAATTATTATAACTTTTTTTTAAATAAAAGTATGAAAGATGTATTGATGAAATGACGCTAAGGGGGCGTCGCCCATTATAATGAAAAGAGAATTTACATATCTGTAAGAATATCTACAACAAATCCAAAATCATTTAAGCTGTTAGGGTTGTGACCGAGAACAATAGATCCAAAATAATATAACCATTTATCCTTAATAGTGACAGAATCAGTTTCTATTCCTTCAAAAACTCTATTGTTCCTTTCTTTCCAAATTATCCAGAAAATAGTTAGGGGTATTGATTTGAGAGCCTTGTTTTTCATTCAAAACGCCTCCCAAACAAAAACTTCGTCATTAATGGACCTCGCCATGGCCCAATGAATGCCCAGGAGATTGAAAATATGGACCAGAGCATGTGAATGACCGGGCACCACAATAAGAGGTGATTGCAAGTTTCCAAGTTCTGTTTGCACATAGAGCATACGTTGATCATAGCCACCCTTTTTTCATAGATTATCAAGAGTAAGGATACGTCCCTTAGCGGCTTCCCAAGCAAAAAATAAAATTCTAGGAGGAGCATGAGATTTCCATATCAGATTGCAAGGAAATGCGGGGATACCAACAGAATGATTCATCAAAGAACTATAAAAAGACTTGACAGAGAAATTGCCACTTTTGATCATATTCCATCGGAGTTTGTCATCTGCACTGTTAAGCTGAATGTTGGCCAACAACTGCAACATGTTCTCAAACTCTTCCATCTCCCAATCCTGGAAGTTTTTAGTAACCACAACATTCCAAGCTAAAGAGTTATTATCCCCATAAGCATCATCAATAAGCACATTCTTGTCTCTAGCAATAGCAAAAATAAAAAACGTGTTTGAAAATTAACAGAACCGTGCCAAATATCTTGTCAAAATTGGGCCTGGTTGCCCTTTCCCACCACCCACTTGGAGCAATTAAGAACCACACGAAAATTTTTCATGATACTCTTCTAAAGACTCCTACGAAACACATTTTTCTCCAATGAGGTATGGTAATGGAAATTGTTCCCAAACCATTTGTTGTTTATGATTTTCTTCCATAGGCTGTTGTCAGCGTTCCATAATCGCCAAATCCATTTCCCATGAAGGGCATTGTTAAGGATGGTTAAAGAACGCAAGCCCAATCCCCCAGCAACAATTGGTCTCTTAGTTTCATCCCAACTGACCAAACGAAATTTCCTTTTATTGTCATTGTCTTCACAAAGAAAGTGACATTGAACAAATTCCAGTTCTTTAGCTATTTTCTTCGAAATGGTGAGCACTAAGAGATAATAGATACAGTTGGTCTCTTAGTTTCATCCCAACTGACCAAACGAAATTTCCTTTTATTGTCATTGGCTTCACAAAGAAAGTGACATTGAACAGATTCCAATTCTTTAGCTATTTTCTTCGAAATGGTGAGCACTAAGAGATAATAGATAGGAAGATTAGACATGGTACTTTTGATGAGAGTTAATCTCCCACCATTGAACAAAAATTTGCTCTTCCAATTATCCAATATATTCTGGAAGAAGTCAACAATTGGTTCCCAACAACTTCCGTCTTTATGCTTAGTGCCAAGAGGGACACCCAAGTATTTGATAGAGAGCTGCGCAAATTTCCAGCCTAAGACCCCAACAAGTGAAGGGTCGGAAAAGACACTCCCTAACTCGACAAGTTCATATTTATCCATATTAATCCTGAGATTGAAAACATAGAAGAATGCATCTCAACATAAAAAGATTGTTGACACTTGGTTTGCCAAAAAATAGAGTGTTGTCAGCGAAGAATAGATGAGATATTTCAAACGGGTTGCCATCTTTACCCACGACGATGCCAGTCTATATACCCCTGCTTCTAGCCCTTTCAATTAATTTGTTTAGTGCCTCCATAACGATGATAAAGAGCAAGAAAGAGAGAGGGTCACCTTACCTTAAGCCCCTAGAAGCCTTGAAGAATTTTGAGGGGCCACTGTTAATCAAGACAACGAAGCTAGATAGGAAATGCATGTATTAATCCAACTCGTCCATTTTTGACCGAAACCAAGATACTCAAGCATAAGATAAACAAAATTCCAAAAAATATGATCAAAGGCTTTTTCCATGTCTAATTTACAAAGAACACCATTTCTTTTATTTTTGAAAACATCTTCAACAACCTCATTAGCAATTAAGATTGCATCAGTGATTTGCCACCCAAACACAAAAGCTTGATGATTTTTCCCGATGATCAAAGTA